GAATTAGAATTAATATAAAAATTAATAAATAATTACTAAATTTTATATTTAATATCAATCTATTTGAATAAAATAGGATTTGAATTTTTAGATAATGGATCAAATGTTGACTCAATTTTGAACTGAATCAATTTTCAGCTAATGAATTATATCAATTTTTAAATAATACATATAACATTTATAATAAAGATGGGTCTCTAAATTATTTAGTATATAAAATTATATAGAACAATTATGTTCTTTTTGAAGAGACATAATTATTTATTCATTATTTTAATAGGAATATAATTTAAAAAACATTTGGATCAAGTGATCTAAATTGCAAAAAACCTTTATAGGTAGTTTTTTTTTTGATCTTATATTTAAAAAAAAAAAATCTTTTTAATAGTAAAAAACATTTAAATTATATTCTTGTCTTTAATTTAAGGACCCATTTTAATTTATAAGACTGTTATCAATAAATCAGAAAAATTTCCAAGTGAATTTTGCATTCAAAGAATTGAAATTAATATTATTGGTTGAAATATTAAATCTATTAATCGAATATTATAAGACTTTATATGAAACAATGAACTTTCAAAAATCATTTATAAATAATATTAATAATTTGATAGTTATTCAGAATAGAGCAAATCAATATGAAAGATGCTGAATAAAAAATAAAATTTTTAATTCTTTTATATCTTTATGAAATATAAAGAATTTATTTATATTAATCTGATTTGTGAATCATAATGGAAGTATTAATTTATATCTGAAACAAGTTCAATTTTTTTTTACATAATTAATTAATTTTTTGAATAATGTTGTATACTATAAATTAACTTTTATTTGATAGTTTAAACCAGTTAATTTGACAGATTTGGGATTTTATTTTAGCTCAGAAAATAAAACAAATATTAAATTATGGAATATTGAATTTTATCTAATTAAACATAAATATATAATTTCTATTTATAATATTTTTGACTGATTTATTTCATTTAGATATAAAATATCAAATTGATATAATTATTGTAAATATTTAGCTGTAATTTCACTAAATCACAAATATAATATTTAAAAACACTAAAATTTGATTATAATTAGATATAAAATAATTTAAATTAATTTTTTAATTTTTTTAAAAATAATTTTATTTTTATTTTATTATTTTATAATTATTATAATTAATTTACATATAATTGACAAGTATTAGCAAATTAAATAAAAACAAAATATTATTTTATAATTAGTATATATTTAATTATTGTTGAGTAGTATTATATCGAATAATTGTATATATGAATGTTTAATGAGTGATAGCATGCTGAATGATGCTATTTTGATTAATAATTCTATTTTGAATAACTATTAAATTATTAATATTATTTGTAAATAGTTTTTGAAAGGTTATTGTTTTATATAAAACTTTATAATATTTGATTAATAAATCCAATATTTCAACAAATAATATTAAATTCAGATTCTTTGAATACAATAATTTATCTGAAAATTTTTCACATATATTTTCATAGAACTCTTGGTATCAGACAACAATACTAATAATGCCTCATACCTTCTTAACTTTTTTTCAGCAAGATATAAAGCATGTAGAAATATATGAAAGTTCAGTCAACATTCTCACAAAATTTTCTTAAAAAAAATAACATAAAATAAGGTATGTACTGTATATGCCAAATGTATGGGAATGAGTTTTTCTTACTATAGTTTCTTGCATTTAGGAAACAAAAATGACTCACAGGAGTATTGTCAATCTTAAGTGTTGCATCCAGGATAATAAAAATGAGATAACTTATATAATCTCACCTTGCAAGGAAGAAAAGATTGCTATTTTCGAATTTGCTGTTAAAATTCTATTAGAAAATCAAGGTTACTAAGCTCTTTCTCTCAACTTCAGTCTATATGTGAACGATCCTAAGAAAAATAAACTCATGGAATCAGGAGAAGAGATCTCTAAGTATTTCGATAAGCCCCTTGTTCAGGATCAAATTCATATTCTCATAAAACCTAGGGATAATTAGTATTTTTTTCTACTTGTGTCATGTAGCGATAGTCACAATTTTTATGTATTGTAGGCCGGCCTCCGGCAACATTTTTTTATTCTTAAATAAAGTATTATTATTGTACTATACATGAGAAATGGGATGAAATATCAGGACAATAAATCAATCTAGTCTATATAAAAAACGTC